TATTTATTTATAATTCGAAAATTAAACGCTTCCAAAACGAGATGTTGAGTGTACGCCTAGATCAATATTCTACGTCAAGTTGTAGACATTATACTACTATTTAAGGATATGACTAATTGAAAATTGGTGAGTCGGCACTGCTTTAAATTCTGTAGAGATTGTATTATGATCTATTAATTACTGTATACTGAACAATGTATGAATAGGTTTCTGTAAAATATTTTTAAAGTTTCTATATGTGGTTTCTATATGTGTTATATTCTAGTCATTCTTCTTATGTATAGGGGTGTTGTGTTGAATGGATTGACTGGCTTTTAAAGTAATTCATTTAAAACTACATATATATATATATATACCCTCTTCCACAAAGAAGTGATTAAGAATGTGTTTTTTTTTGTAATGCTTTGAAGGAAATGGTAGACCCTATAGACCCCATAAAGAATAAAATTGTGTAAGTCTACTTTTTTTCTATATCTTTAATAATTGTTTTAATTGCTTCTTTTTTTTTATTACTTTTATTTTTTCTTTGTTTCTTTATAAATTCAATAGGTTCTCCTCAAGTGTTTACTTCTTATAATTCTTCTAGATTATATTTTGGAGAGTTTAGATTTGGACGTTTATTTTTATTACAATCCTTACTTCTCGAGGTTGTTTTAACTTCAATATTGTGATTTTAAGTTGTGTTCTTATATGGACATGTCCTTTTACAGTGGTGCCCTTTACGGTTGTGGTGACCGGTGCTGGGTCATCAAAGTTAATTAGGGGTTTATCATTACGGTAAATTTATGTATCTATTCACTAAATATTTGATTTCTATGTGGTAACCGTTTGATTTTTAAATATCTTTTTAGTGATATTTATCACTATTTTTACTTTAACTTATTTTGGCAACATTATCGCGAAATAAGTCAGATATTTTTTGCCAAAAATTACGAATTTTTTTTTCTTCTTAATAACTCAGATAACTCAGAATGACCTGGTGGCGAGTAACATCTATTTATGTTTCTCTTGTTATTTGGCTTTGATAGTAATACAACCTCGTTGCTCTAGAGATGTTTATATTCGAAGTTAACTAAATAAAATCTATTGAAGTAACAGTGGTTGTTTTTTATCTTCACGTTTATAAAAAAAAATAGTTTTAGATAAATTAATAAATAAAAATATGACAAAAATGATTTTTTTTTTGCAAAATCTCTCTCATAGGTTAATAAAAAATGATAGGCCATTAAAAAAAAGCGGGATTATTTCAACTCATTGTCATTTTCATCTAATACTTTATATGTCATTCTACTATTCTTTTTAAAGTTTGTTAGTTTTTTCTTTAATTTCTGTTTATTGCATTCACTTTTATAACTGTTTTTTATTTTTTTATTTACAACCGAGAAAAGAATCACGTTTTTATCGTTTTTTTTTTTTAGTAAGAATTTATTTTTTCTACTTGCTACTTCAATAATTTTATATAAAAATAAGTGCAGTTAGATAATATATATATATATATATATATATATATAAATATATTTTTTAAATCTGTTTAAATCTGTTCACATATATTTATTTATATAAATATATAATTTTAAAATGTTAAAATAATTTTTGTCGTTAGATCAAAATTTCTGTGAAAATATATAAAAATGTGCATAAATAATTGGAACGCAATTATTAAATATAATATAAAATATTTAAAGATTAATTAATTAATTGAATATTTAATTAAATATCAGCAATATTTAATTATTCTAATTTTTGCCTTTTAAAAGGCAATATTATAAATGTGCCTTTTAAAAATTACACAATTACACAAATTGCATTATAAAACATGTTGAAATCTAGTTACCTGAATCCTCTAATTGTTGGGTTATTAGTATTTTAAAGTAATTGCTTGCTGGAGGGTTATTATTGAATATAATCAATATATCGAAAATAATATAAACCAATCCACATACTTCAATTATGCAATTTATTGGTGTTAGTTTCTAAGTTCGACGACGAAGACGTTCTCATATGTGAGGAAAGTGCAATATTAAAATCTTATTTTTTGTTTATAAATAATAGTTACATACATATAGTTATAGATTAAGATTTGTCTAGCAAAAACTTAGTTTCAAATACAAAAGAGAGAATGCGGCACAAAAGATAATTAACCTAGTGTGAAAAGTTCAATATGTTAACTTTCGATGTTGTGATAATAAAAATTTTATCATAAACTTTAAATTGCATTCTATATGTTAACTTCTTTCTGCAAAATAACAACAGGTTGAAGAAGTTTACGACCTTACTTAATGAAGTCTTAGTGGGTTACTTTTCAAGTTAGAATAGATAAAGTTTATTTTTCTTTCAAGTTAATTAAAACAAAAACATAAAAAATTATAAATAATTACTATATTTAAATTGCTTTCATGTAGTAATGGAGAAAAAGAATATAATTTTATTAGTAAAAGTTTAATGTTCTTTAAAAAAAGTTTACCATTTTCGATTTGTTCCATTAGAACAAAATTTAGAATTTCTTTAAAAAACTTATGCAGGCAGGTCTTTTTGATATAATGTTTTAGTGGAGAATAAGTTGAGAAGCCAAAAAATATCTATACTTAACTCTTGATAATGTGTCTTGATCTAGAGTGTCTTATAAACTGTCTAGTGAAGTGGTGTTCTCCAGGTAGACCGCGAGATGGTTAAAAATGGACTGTGAATCAAATTTATTTGAAGACACATAATGAAAGTAGAAGAGCATTTTGCACAGATATCTATGCTGTTTTATCTCTTCTATATAATAATAAATTCAGAACAATAGAAAAAATTAAATACTTTCATTAAACAAATCATAAAGCCATATCTTTTGTAAGGATGTGTGATAAGACTGCCAAATCTACATTCTTTTATATTCAAATATTCTAAAATAAACCATTAAAGAAACTCCTTAAAGCAACAAATAAATAATAAAAAAAAAAAAAAGAATCAGAGATAAAGCAATAGGACTGCTTGAAAAGTAGTTGAGAACCAAAACTCCATATTTATTGAAAAAAAAATCTAAAGAGGCATTGTTAACGAATTTATCAATAACGAAACATAATATAATATTACAGTATACTATCATATTAAAATTTATACATCATAATTGAGATTTTTATAGAAAACCTTAAGATAGTAAAGTGGTAAAGATAGCAGCAATAGCAGTAAATAGGTTCTTTAGGATATCAATTCCAAATAATTATTCAATATTAAATATCAAAACAGTGTATCATAACATATATTTTATTATTGGCTTCTATTTGAGATATTAATTTCTTTGAGGTGTTATCGTAAACTTTGTAATAAATTTAATATATAGTTCTGCTATTTGCTATTTTTAGATTTTATCTTCTCTTTGAGTATTTCTATTAATTATTTTTAATTAAATTTCAATTGATTCATGCAATCCGTAGTTAATTTTTTTTTTTTTTGAGCATACTTAAGATCTCTCCAAATACAAATGCCACTCTTTCATATCTTAACTGTGGGTGTTTCCTGCATATTCCAAAAATTTAACATATTTGCTTGCACCAGCTGCTTTATGCAGTAGGAAATAGTTCTGTAACGCAACAGTGTCTTGGTATGCCAATTTCCAGTTCTATTAGGGGATTATTATTATGCCGACAATAGAAAGCATGCAGTGCGCATGCAATGCGCATGCTTCTACTATAAATCAAATTCCACCCTTAATTGCATATTATATTCACCTCACCACTGTGGTCAGTTTCGATAATAACAAAACAAAAAGTCTACACACACTGAAAACAGAAATCAATAATATCAAATTGTTTGTAGACTTTTTAAATGAGTTTCTTCGGCAGAAGTTTTGGGTACAAGTTCAATACCTCAAGTGCAAATGTAATACGACGGACATACGCGATATAAGTTTTAACCCTATTTGTAATATCGAACCATTTCTAAGTTTGAAGGGATTTCAAAACATTGGACAAATACTCCATAAAAGTCTACATAAAACTGTCAAAATTTGTGCGGAAACAGGCGACATAATAGTCAACTTTGGTCTCCATTGTGCAGAACTGCGCTGCGCATTTATTTGTGCCATAGTCGCTAGCAGGTACAGGATAATATATTAAATCACAACATACAGGACCTACGCGCGAGCATCAAATTCGAATGGCTTCAGTTTATTGAACGCTCGTGGTACTGTTCGGTGCTCTCTTCTTGCTCTTGGGAATTTTACCAATTTAAGGCGCTGACGTTTCATATTTGAAATTATTTTTGTAATTGCGTTTCAGTGCATTAAAATAATATATAACGTGTTCTAATTAATAATTTTATAGACATTTTTTTTGTAAAATTAAGCATCATTATAAATTTTTAATATTATAAATGAAGTGCTTGTTTATTAACTAAATCAATTTAAAGTTGTTTGATAAATTAAAATAGAAATTTCTTGAGGCGAAAAAAAAAGAAATTTAAATTTAAATAAATTTTATAAGAAATATTAATAAATTTATAAGAAATATTTAAAGTGCTTATATTTAATTAACAAAGTGGAATGGATACAAACGGAGAACCAGCTCAAAATGGCGTTTACAAGAAACGTCCATTAATTTGTTCAATTTTAGATCCTAGTAAGTTTTGTTTTGTTTTTGTTATTAATATGCTCCTTTATTTAAATTACTCATACTCGCACTAGCACTCGCACTCGCACTCTCATTCTTATTTCTCTATATCTCTCATCATCACTGTTGACATTATTTATCATATTCATTAAGTAATAGAAATATATGTGCTACTAAGAATAGTCGGTGCTTCGCTAACTGAAAGTCTGCTATATGTAAATCCTTACTATTTTCCGATACTAATATGCTTTATATAATAAAAAAATTAAAACTGTTAACTACATTGAATACATTTTTTTAATACTAATAATTAATTACTGCTTTGGTTTTTGTTATATAATTTAATTAATAATTTAAATAATAACTGCACTAATAATTAATAAAAATCAATATTGTTGCTAATTTCAGATGCTTGGTTTAAACCGGAACGCTTACATCCACGAGGTGAGTAATGCAGGAAGAATTACAGAAATATTATACATGTAGTTCCACTAGACATTCTTAAACGAAATTCACTCATCCATATATCTACGTACGTACGTACGTACGTACGTTCGTTCGTACAAGAGGTATCAGACAAAGACAATCGTTCAATGCATGCATTAGAATTTACGTAGTGCTGTAGTGAGCACTCAGCGCGTTTAAAATTCAGCGATGTGTAAAATATAATGAAAATATAATGAATATAATGAAAATTCTACCTAAAAGACCTGCTTTACAGTCATAGCGCACAAACGCCCCGTACCGTAGATGACGATAAGACTGGGTGTTGGCGTAGTGTTGGGCGCTGTACACGTAATAACTACAATAACTCGTCCATTATTGAGGCACAAACGAATAGTAGTAACGTAGCCGTAATGCCAGGTTTTTGCGTATGTGTATGCTTCGTATCCTTAGCAACAATGACACTACAAATACTAAAGTAGTCCTTTGTTTATCCATTTTCATTTTTCTCCCAATTTTTTTTTCACAAATTTGCGTATTTTATTTACACATTTTACCGATGATAATGTTTGCTCGTGCCACTTCTGGCATTAAAGCAGCTCTCCAGCTTATAAATGTTCTGAGAGAATAGTTAATATTTAGAACAAGCCGAAGTGCAGGTAAAAGTAAAACGAATTACGTTATTTCAGAGATTAAATTATAATAAATAAGGTCACTAACGACAATTGTAAGGGTTATTCAAGCATTTCACTATTGCATTTATAAAATTTCATATTTAAATATCGAATACAGTTAAATATTTAAACAAATTTAACATATATAACAGTTTGATAATTATAAATATTTTATAGTTTGAAAAGTTATGAAATTATTCACAATCTGTATAAAATAAAATGCTTTTACCTTTTAGAATCTTACGCATGAACTCTAGGTCTATCTCCTAGGTCTAAAAATTAGTATTATCGTAGTAAAACTACGTGTTACTTAAATTAGATAAACGTAAGTGTAAACACAGTATAAGAGCTATTTACTTTTAAATGGATTGTATATACCATATATATTCTCTCTGATATATACTGACAGCATATGTTAAAGTCATATATGTTTCTAAATCATATATTTTTGAACACAAATAATACACAATTTTTAAAATTAGTTTGAAAGAATATCTTTTATTCACACCTATATTTCGACTATAGTCTATAGACACCTATAGATTATATTAAAACAATAAATTACATATAACTTTTACAAAATATCTTTGTAAATTTCTTATGAATTTTTAAACATTGCTAAAATTGTAAAAATATTTTATTTATATAAAAATTTGAAATAAAAAACAACCAACTTACTACTGGAACATACTAAATGTATAATTTATTTTTTGGATTTTTAAGATTTTATTTTTTCTTTTTAATGTTTGAGCGATTACTATATTTTCATATTGTTTATTAAATGAATAATAATTCTTTTAAATTTAAATATTTTTCTCTCAGGATCTCAAGGTTTCTGGTATTCTTAGCCTATAATTAACAGACAGACAAATTGTGCATAACAGCAAAATACCTAAGCTTACTTAAGAATAATTATAATATACATTATAAATGTCAAAATCGAATACAATAAGAAAATATTTACTTATATTAGTAAATAGTCTTTAAAGCATTCGAATAATTATGGAGACTAGCCACAAGCTCACGGAATCTCACAGAATATATAAAATTGAAAATTATTTCCTATATAGTATCGGCTGATTACAATTATCTTTAAATAAAAAATCATTATAAAAGTAACTTCGACTTTTTAATACACGTGTGACAACATCATTGAGTTAAAAACTCGATTCTAGTATTTGCTCGCTAATATATGTGATATGATGGTAGACCTGGTAGACTTGGTTGTATTCGGAATTACTCGTTTTTAAAGAACATTAGTTATACGCTTATCCGAAAACATATTTTCTTTTTAACAATTAATTTGTATACCCTGACCGTTAACATATATAGTGGAGAGCTTTTCTAAGTTTAACTTTGTTTGACGAGAGATCTGACAAAATTGTTTTCCCCACCTGTTATTCTTATCTATACTTTTATAATCCCCACACCATTGTGTTTAGAGTTTAATATACTTCTGTATACTTCTTTTACTCATTCTCAAATACTATTTTTGAGGAAGTATGCTATATTATATATAAACGTAGGAATGTTGATAGTGTTTGACGGATCTTATATTATATATATATTGTGACATTTTAAATTAAGCTATGTAATTACATTGCCCCAAATGTGGTATAGACTCTTTTATATGTTATTTGATTTAATATTTGAAAATATTAAATATAAATTATTTTATATTATTTTATTTTTATTTTATTTTTACTTTATTTATTTTATTTTATTTTTATTTATTTTATTTTATTTTTATTTATTTTATTTTTGTTTATTTTATTTTAATTTATTTTCTTTTATTTTTATTTGTTTTTATTTATTTTTATTTATTTTGTTTTATATTTTTTTATTTTTTATTTTTTATATTTAATAATTTAAAATATATATATTAAATAGTTGTCGTTTTGATTGTTTGATCTTATGCCAGTGTCATCTTTTTTACTTGACTTCTTTATTTTAGTTAAAAAAAATTATTTTATTTAAATCCTTTTTTTATTTTTGAAGTATAAAAATATATATTAGATCAACATAGACGAAGAGTTGTGGGTAGAAATATAAAGTAATTGGTGGAAATGTAGAATATACGTTTATTATATGAAGATCAACAAATCTTGGGAAGGCCGTTTCCAATTATTAGTGAGAACGGTTTTCACCAAATTTTGTACATACTGTAAATATATTTGTATGTATATTAATATATATGTGTAATATATATACTAGAACACAATTATTATATCATAATGTCAACTGTACTCAGCTCCGGAAGTTAGGAGCAGTAGTTATCACCGATAAACCTTTTTTTTTGCGTGAAAAGTGAAGTTTTGTGATAAATATAGTTACATGCTCTCTTGAGTTCTGGAAAAGTTTATATTTTTTATTGGACTATTTGAAATCATGAAATATCCTTGGGTATTCTGTTATTCTTATCATAACTAAGATTGTTAAAAGACGAAATAAAGTTAATAATATATAGTTTATTGTGCATTTAAAATGTACTAATAATGCTGTTAATCGCCTGAAAGTATATTAACACATATTTCGAATCACTTAAATTAAGTGTCAGCCACTTTGTATGAACTAGGATACTTAATTCTCTAAATGTAGTTGCACTTGACAAACGAAATCAGAACACTCCCTCTCTCTTTCACTCTGCCGCAAAGCTAAATGTAAAGTGTAAAGTGTATATTTCTTTTTTCAAACTATTAGCAATTTTTTCCTCATTTTTGCAATGTATGTCGTCACACACTTGATCTCTATTGATTTTGTGCAGCGTTTATAGTGGTATCTGCATTTGTATCTGTATCTATTATTATTATTTTGCCGGCAGTTTGTATGTGCAGTCTTCATACTTTTTTAATTTGACTTTTAGTCATCGCTTTTAGCTTTTAGCACTTCAGGAAAATCAATTTTCCAAGCGCATGAAATTTTTTGTACAATTTTTCATATGAAAAACCGTGTTAAGTTGAAAAGCATGTAGCTATAATCGGTCGCATGAACTCAGTTTGAAAAAGATACAAATTAAAAGCTAATGGATTAAAAAAAAATAATGAATAATATTTTAAATGCTTTTTTTGCATGAGATTTTATTTTTTTTTTTATTAATCTACTGTTGACATTGTGAACATAAAGTATCTTTAACACTAGACTGGTGAATTTATTTTCTTTAATTGTTATTCTTGTCATCGGGGATAATTACTGATTGGCATTAACCCATATCCGCCCAAGGATTTTTTTGGAATTTTTGGTCAAAATGTTTTAAAGATAAATTAGTAAGGGGTGGGGGGTGTGGAGTGAAGTCACAAATATTTTTGTAAAGCTAAAGCTTTATACATTCAAAGTAATGACATATATAAACTCGAAAGTTTTTCTAATATAAACAAAAAATCCATGAAAAGTGATAAAATTTGCTGTTCGATTAATCGAACGTTGGGCAGATATGGGTCAATCTGTGCCCTATTATTATAATCTTAGTAGGTTAAGTGTTTCCAAAATTGTTAATCTATTTTAAATTCCATTCATTTAAAATCAAGTCTTTTATCACTGGATTGAATTTTTACTTACTTTTAAATATAATTATCGGTATTCCTGGAACCTTTTATGCTCAATATACCTGCTACAGTCATATTCCAATATTACAATTACGGGACTCTTCGAGCATCTTAAATTTTTATTAATGTTAGAGATGAATTTGAACGTCATCTCATTGATTCAAATTTCTTTGCATTCATATTTTTTAATTTGTTATATTTTTTATTTTAGAAAAATATTAACAAAATAAATTATAATATAGTCAATTAATTCATTTCTATTTCATTGCTAAGGCTGAGTGGTCAACAACTGAGGTTCTCAATTTTAGCAATGAAATATTATATTTACCTCAAAGCTTAATTGAAAGGTATATGTAGAAATACTGGAATTTTGCAAAAATGTTAATAAAAATAACTGGGATCACCATACTAAAATAGCCCTGTACATGTCCATATACTGTGATTATACAGTTAATACTCTGCTTGGGCTCACTATTCTAGAGAACAGTGCTGCAAATGCGACACAATATTAGCAAAATATAGTAAATATAAAAAAAATACAAAAATAGTTCTTTACATTATGACAATAGAAGTACATATAAAAAGTGATTTAAGGTCCTTTTGAAAGAGCTTCACATTACCCTATCATGTAGGGTTATGTTAACAATATTTACTACCTATGTCTTGGACCACAACTAAGATCTAGTCACAGTGAAGAATAGCATTTAAAGAGTTTAAAGAAGGAATGTGGAGTAAGTATTGAAATTTATATACTTCAAAATTTATATACTTCTTATATGGTATC